CCAGGCTGGTGCTGAGTAGGGGGGGTTTTCCCAGCTCCTCAGACGGAAATTTAGGAATATGCTGGGACAAGAGGCCCCTTCTGTTAAATACCTGATTCTTCTCCTCTGTGCTGTGGGACGTGAACAGGAATTGAGCTGCTCCTCTCTGTCAAGTTCATTTGCATTTAGGGTTTTGTTTTGCTCTGTGGTTGTTTGGGTTTTTTTCCCAGATAAAACTAAGGAGTGGAATATCAAGTGGGCAAAAAAAGGAAACAAAGTGGACCAAGCCATGAGGAAGATGCTGGTCACGTCTCCACATGGTACTTTCCTGAAGGCTGAGGTCAAACTCGGCCTGGGCAGAGATGGGACATGGAGAAGTGGCAAATATCCATGGTTTGGGAACACACAGGTGAAGGGGTGGGAGTCGAGGGGGACACCACGAGAAGCAGCTCTGACCTCAGCACTCAGCAACCCATGGGAAAGGTTTGGGAGCTGTTGAGAGGGGCTGGCTCGGGAGAAACCTCGAGCTGCACTGGAGAACAGGATGGGACAGGACAGATTGTGGCTGAGCTGGATGGGATAGGATGGGATGGGACAGACAGTCTGCGGATGAGCAGGACAGGATGGACTGTGGATGAGCATTCCAGGTGGCTCAGTACCACAGGCAGAGCAAGGCTGTGACAGCAGCGTTTGCTCCTGAGTGTCTCAGGGCTGGAGATGATCAGACCAAGGAGATTTGAGTTCAGGATGAGGGGTGGGATGTTGGCAGATGGAGCCATGCATGTCTTGTTCCAGCTGGGCCATGTGTCAGGTAACAGCCAGGAGCATCCTGGTGTGTAAGGGGTGAGGAGAGAGGGAAAGGTGGGTCAGGTGCTAAAAGAGGGCCAGAGCAAGGAAAAACTAAAGAACTAAGTGAAGTATCAGGCAGCATTTCCTCAGGTGAGCGTTGGCAGGCAGGACAAGACATGCCCCAGGATTAACTGTACAGCTGGAAGGTGCTGTAGGAAATGCCAGGAGTGAAAATGCTCCACGTTTTCTCAGGAAAATAAGAAGAGGAGGACTTACAAGTTGTTGCCCGGCATGTTCCTCTTCCTGGCCCCCAGGAAGTCCATCAGGTTGGGATCTGAGTGCTCGTCACCCACCATGGTGGGACCAGCCTCCTGTGGGAGAGGCAGGGGAGCGGTGAGTGACATGTGGGGGTACAGCTCCTGCTCCCACTCCCAGCACAGCTCCAGTAAGAGCTTTACTGGGAAGGGAATTGCCATGAACCACCTGTCTGGACCAGGAGGGGACCTCAGTGAGCCCTGCCCTGGCCACTGCCAGGAAACCACAGTCATTCCCCCCTGCAAGGCCAGGACGCGCCGTTCCCAGCAAGTTCCAGGCTGGAAATGTTTGCTTTGCCCTGGCAAAGAGCAGAGTTTCCAAAGTCTCCAGAGGGGAGACTGAGCTCCACTGATCCAGGCTGCCAGTCCGATAGGGAACAGCACATGTGCCCTTTCCTGTACCTCACCCATAATCACTCAATCAGTTTGTCACTGCTGGCAGACGCTTCGGTGCTGCAGCGTCCCCTCACGTCCTCATTCCCAGTCCACTGCTGCTTCCTTTGGGATGTCTAATGGGACATCTCCAGCAGCAGCAGCAGCAGCGTCCATCACCCAGCTCCCTCCCTTTGCTCATCTGCTGTTTTCACCGTCCCCCCTTCCTGCCCCAAACCACGCTGGAATATTTGGGCTTTCGGGCGGATGGCTCCCCTTTGGGTTGGGAAAGGGAAACCCTAGAAAAGCACAGGGCTGTGGGCTCCCGCAGAATCCTGCAGGATGTGCTGGCTGCCAGGAGCTGGGGAGCAGCTGCCCTGTGGGATGTGTGTGCTGCCAAGCACTGGGGAGTTACATTTCCTTTGTGGTTTTATCTGAGACTAACAGGCTGTGCCCAGCCAGGAACCCCTGACAGCGATCCCAACCCCTGCCCGGCTCCTGCCAGACCCTGCTGCCAGCCATGTCCGCCCCTTGGCTGGGTTTTCCACCCTGGAACGGCTCTTTGGGGACAAGAGGGAAAAGGACGGCGAGGACGCGCGGGCAGAGCTGTCCCTTTGGCCTTCCTGGGATCCTGCCGCAAGTTTCCCGAGTGAGTCGCTGTTTGGGAGAGGAGAATTTGGGGGGAGCAGAGCTGTGGTGTGGGTACCGGGGGCTCTCCAAGCCCCGACCCCCGGGGTTTGGGCACCGGGGGCTCTTGCGGAGTGCGGGGGCGGTTTGTGCCGGACACCCCACACCGGGCACCGTCCCCCAAATCTGCATCACCCCCAACACCCTCCCCGGCAGCAGCGGGGACAGCCCAGCCCGGGACCGCACCCGTGGGCTCGTCCCGCCGCTCGTCCCGCTCGGTCCCTGCCCGCCCCCCGAAATTCCCCAGGCCCGGGGGTCCCGCCGGGACTCACCAGGCGGATTTGGGTGCTGATGAGCAGGTACGGCATCTCCGCTCCGCCGCTCCCGCCGCCGCTCCGGGGCCGCCCCCGGTCCCGCCCCGGCGCCACCGCCCCCGGGCAGCGCGGGGGAAAAAGGGGCTCCCGGAGGGGTCAGAGGGGCCCCGCCGGGAATGGGGAGCGGGAGACCCCCGGGGGACTTCGACGGATCCCTCGACGAGGGGTGGGCAGGGAGAGGGTGGGCAGGAGGTGGTGGGTTGGAAGGAGATGGAGCAGGAGGAGAGGGACAGGGAGGTGATGGACCGGGAGGTGATCGATAGAGAGACAAAGGACAGGAGGTGGTGAGCAGGGAAACGATGGTCCAGGAGATGACAGCCAGGGAGGTGAAGGACAGGGAGATGGGGGACAGGAGAAGATGGGCAGGGAGGCAATGAACGAGGAGATGATGGACAGGGAGATGATGGATAGGGAGAAGAAGAACCAGGAAATTAATAGCAGGGAGATAAGGGACCAGGAAATGACAGCAGGGAGATGATGGAGCAGGAGCCAGGCAGGTGGGAAGCCCTGGGCCCTGCAGAGCATCACAATGCCCACCCCACCCTCCGACTGGACACTCCCCTGAAGCAGTGTGTTCCAATATTTTTGAGTAAAACTCCATTTTTCTACCAGCTGTCAAGCTTTTATCAGGGAACAGAGGGGTTTAAATCCCTTCACAATTTGAGGAGAAGCTCATTTCGTGGGACTGGGACAGGCAGAGGCACTTCCTCTGCAGGTGCTGAGTAATTCTCCCCCTCAACACCCAACCTCCCAACTGGAAAACCATACATAAACCAAATAATACTTCCATAAATAGCAAATAATAGTTTCCTGGCCTCCAGACTTGGGGCCTCTCCACGCAGCTCCCCAGATTAACAAACCACAGTCAATTCCTAATTTTGCTGATAACTCTCACCCCACTGGTTAAACATCAGCTCATTTCGATCATTCCCATCCTCAGGAGGCTCTTCCCCAGGTCCTGGAACAGTGGGAATGTTTGCTCGTGGCTCTCCTGCCCCAGCACAAACCCACTGTCCAATGAACCAACAGCACCACCACTCTGGCACCTTTCACGTTGGCTGGATTTGGACAGGATTCCCACAATCCATGTGCCCTTTGGATCTCCACCAGGTATGTGTGTTCTGTGGTTACCAGCCTGTTGGCTGCAGGGAATAACATGGGTATGAAATCCAGACCCTTCCAGAAACTAAAGGAAACCTAGCCAGTGTTCTGGCAGCCTGCCCAGCTCTTGCTCTGCCTCTTACACGGCTCTTTCTTGGAGGGGAAAAAAAAAAGTAAGGAAAAGAGAGGGAAACGAGAGCAGAGCTGCACATGACATTTTAATATTGAATTTCCTGAGGAGATACCGAGATCTGGGAGGCAGCTGGAGCATGATGGATCTCAGTGGTGCCATCCATCATCCAGGAGTAGCTTATCACGCTCCGGCCCTGGCTCCGAGCTGGCTGCTCCCAGCTCTGCCTGGACACACAGGAGATGAGCCCGGCTCGGAATCACCCCCAGTAATTCAGGTAAAGGGAAGAAAAGGGTTCTTTGGCTCTGCCGTCATCCACGCTCCCAAGAGCAGGGAGCACACTAAGGACTTGATTTTCCCATTCCTGACCGGCGCCTTTTCCTAAAGAATCCTTTGGATCTTCCAGAAAAGGGCATTTCTAGCTTTAATGATCCTGGGATAAACAGGTTCTTCTTGGGGGATCCTGCCAGGAGTGTAAGTGCCCTCTGCACTCACTGTGTTTCCTGTAGAAGGGAGAAATTCCAACCCTAAAGGCTTGGGATGATTGTTTGGCCATTCCTGTCTCCTTTGCCTAATTCCACCTAAAATCCATTCTCTCATCCCAAGAACTGGTTGCTCTGTGCACAACTCCCTCACTGCAATAACCCTGTCCCACTTGGCTCCATTGGGCATTCCCAATTTCCCATTTTCTGTCCCATTTGTCCCGTACTGCTGGAAGCTGAACACCCAATCCAGTGGGATTTCATTCCACATACCCCCAGCCTGCGGGTGTTCTCTGCTGCTCTGAGGGTGTTAAAGGGTCTCTCTGGAAATTGTTTCCTTGGAAAAGGACTTGGAACAGGTACAGGAGTATCTGCAGGTAGAGGTAGGGGGGTGTGGTTGGAACTGTAGGTTCAGGTGTAATTTTAGGTTCATGTACAGGTGTAACGAGATACATGTACAGGTGTAAGTATAGGTCCATGTGCATGTACAGGTGTAATTTTAGGTTCATGTACAGGTGTAATTTTAGATCCATGTGCAGGTACAGGTGTAACTTTAGGTCCATGTACATGTATGGGTGTGACTTTAGGCTCAAGTACA